TATCCGTTTATAATAAACCATATAATAATATTATTCTACTATTTTTACTTGGTTATCATTACTAAGGTTCATAATTTATGAGTAATACCTTATCTCACATTCAATCGCTAGCATATTTTAAACCATCCAAATGTTGATAATAAATCTCAAAATACACTAATCACTAATATTCAAATTATAATTTATATAACTCTTCGAAACTAAACTTAATAGAAATTATTTATTTGTACAGACTTAACTGCTGTGGTATTCCAAGTTGCTCAATACATTTTTGCATTGGCGCTTACATCGATTGATACATTTTTGTCAAACATTCGCTCCTAATTAATGGTGTCCTTGTCCACTATTCAAAGACAGCTGCGATTCTGCCTGACGAATACCAATCTATCTAATTATCTGGAATTTAATTATTATTTTTAATTATTATTTTTAATTATTCTTACATTTATTATTTATCTATACCTATTTAACATTTTACAAAAATACCCCCTTAGTCGACCGAGACAACGATAACGTAACTGTGTACATCAAAAACCTAGTTTGATAGGAATAGAGAATCCATAAGAGATGGCAAAAAATAAAGAATGATGGGACGAAATGTTAATTGGGGCAAAGGACCTTAAGGGAATTGCAAACTATGATTTTCTTTCTTTTTCTATCACTCGCGCAATATAGGGATTTAAACGTTTTCTAATTCCAATGCATCGATCAATCTATTAATGCGATAAGGATTTTGAAAACTGATTTAAGTTCGTCTCTCGACTTTCCCACTTTTTTTTTTAAAATGTTGTGCTTAACATACACAAAAATTAATTTTTGTTAATTTTTATGTTTCTAATATATTTAATTCTGTTTTGTGAAATTTTGGGAAACATAATCAAATGAGTGGGAAAGTCCATATAAAGAAAACTTTACGACGAATTTAAATCCGTTTTTAAAATCCTTATTGCCTCAATAGATCGATCGGTACGTTGGAAATAAAAAACATCTAAATCCTTATATTGCGCGTGTAATAGAAAGAGAAAAAAATCATGGCTTACAATCCCCTTAATGACCTATATCAAGCCAAAAAAAAATGTACATGTTAATGATATATATTTTGATCAATTTAAAGTGTTTTTAATTAAAGTAACTTTTAATTTACCTAAAAAGTATAGTAAATGTACCTAACTAAATTATTGTTGCGTTTCACACATAGGCAGATTTATCCATAGACAACTAGACTCATGCCTAGGGCGTAACATGTTTCGGGGGCATAGCAAATTTTTAGTGTATCAAATAATTCAATTTTTATTTATATGTCATTATTATATATTATTATACTTGATACAATTAAAATAAAAAATATTTTTATTAAAAAATGTCATGTTCTATAAATTATTTACATTGTAATTATTAGTAAAAGTTACTGTATTTTGAATTTAATTATGTGTACATATCAAATATAAGAATAGAATTATAAAAATCAGATGTTCATAAGAATAATAAATAATATAATAGACAACACTACAACTGTGACGCCGTCGATGCGGCGCCGTAATATCTTACTTAGATAAGTGAATGATAAGAAAGATTATAAAATAAATACTACAAGAAAAAAATATAAAACATTTTTCATGACGGATCTGACTCTAAAAAAGTAAATTTATCGACACGAGACAGTTTTAAAATACCTACAATCCCCACCTTAGATATATTGCTTTGTGAACAAGAAACTAGACGACACATTTATGATATTTTCTATTAACCATTTACATTTTTAACACAACTTAAGGAATTGGACAATCAATAAATCAGAAAATCAGTTAAATCCCTTCGAGATATTAATACAAATAATGTAGAATTCAACAACTTCATAAATGAAGTTTTACGTTTAAAAGCTCATATTGATTTAAGTTTTATTCGGAGAAATGCAATTTGCTTGGAATTCGACTAAAATTTGTTTAAACTACATTTTTGTATGATAAAAACCTAACAAATATTTATCCAAACATAGAAATAGTATTGGTGTATATTTTTACCTACACAAGCTGCCACCAATTGCTCAGCTGAAAGGTCGTTTTCATGTTTGAAAAGAATAAAAAAATTACTTATATTTTACTTTAATACAGCCAGCATGGTGATATGGATAGTGAAAAGGTGGCCGCCTCATAGTTTTTTGGGGGGTGGGTGGGCAAGGCTGTATCTAAAAATTTTGTTCGGGAGGGGTTCAAAACATGTATATTATAATTTTATTGAATTAAGATTTTAATTTTTGATATTTGGTTAAAAATAAGACAGAAAAAGATTTAATCTTCTTTTATTAAAATTAATATTATATTTTCATATGATATTATGATATAAAATTTAAAGCAGTCAATGATTAATTGGAGCTTAAGTCATTTTTGACTGAAAATATTTTTGTTGGTATTGAAATAAATAAGTATTTTAAATATTCATAAAATATTGAAGAAATTTCGGGGGGGGTCCAGACACCCTGGACCCCCCCCAGATACGGCCATGTGGGTGGGTGTCGACAAAATGTACTTGCCTCTGAAAATTGTTGAATTCGCCACGCCACTGAACACAGTAAAAATTGATTTACTTGCGATTCTGAACATTGATAATCAAATAACTCGTCAGTTATCATAAAATGATATCATAAATAATTTTTTTACAGATAAATAAAGACGCAAAATGATTTAATTGTATACCAATTTACTCATATTATTACTCATTGATTTTTTATTATACAGTAATTGTTTTAATCAGAGCCGTGTCTAGGGGGAGAGTGCGAGAGATGTGTATGTACTGGACGCCAAAAACTTTTTCATAATCCAAGTAATATTACTGAAAGTTAACCATATTATTTAATTTATAATATTCAATACGTTCAAAACCATAGTCTCAACGCGTAATCGACTTCATTAACATAATCCTGATCGGTGGTCTTGCTAGTTTATTTTTAGTATTGGTAATTGTTTTTTCCCTGAAGAGGTTGTCGATAACAAATTAACAATACGTAACAACACTAATGAATTTAATAACATAAACGAATATCGACTTGAACGAGTAGTATAATTTTAATTTGAACACAATTGAATAGGTAACTAATTATTTTTCATCAACAATAATTTAAAGGTAAGTCATTTTTTGTGCAATCCATTAAATTTGATTTGTTAATACATTTTACCGATTTAGTATGATAATTATTATCTACATGTTTTGTTCTACCTATACAGTTTGAGTTACATTACTTATATTGTTCTTTATTTGATTTATTTTATTAATTTATTAAATACAAAATAAGTAGTTATATAGAACGCCCTATTCTTATGTAGTCTCCTTATATTCTATAGATATAAAAATATTTGGTAGAGGGGGTGGGGGCTCTAAAAATGATTCTTGGCACCGGTCGCTAATTATACTAGGCACGGCACGGGTTTTAACTGGTATGTGTGTAATCATTCGACTATAAAATAATGCATGAATCAACTATAATTATGTATACCATTCGATTTTAAATCATTTTAAAAAATAATAAATGGCGGCTCTTTCGATACCTGCACAGACGACACAAATCAAACAATAAAGGAAAGGTCTGACCTTACAATACTCCATCGATATAATAAATAGGTTACATCTTGAAAGGATCAGTTCAAGGTCCATCCTGCCACACGTCCCTATATAACGGGGATACACAACTAGGTCCGATGAGAGGGGGGGGCAGCTGGGGCTGTAGCCGGAGCCTCACCAAGTTCACTACGTCTCGGTCATGGTGTCGAGCTATTTATTAATCACCAACATGAATCGTACAAATAACCTACTCAAAAAATTATAGTGTATGCTGTAAAATTATAATGAGTCTACAATAAAGTGAACACTATAATATTGATCTAAAACGTAGACAAATAACATTTTCAAGAAAGACCCATAGGCTATAAATAATTATTTTCATTTAGTCTGTGGAATAACAATGACTGCGATTACATTATCTCTTTGGTATACGCATTTGAAAAGAAGACACTGGATGTCAGGATATCATCACTGGATACCTCGTGTGAGAAAGGACTGGATTTATTTGTCCTTGGGGTCCTTGATTTTTATCCACGGCCCTGTACATAACTCTCTCCCAAAGCTCTTACCTATAAGTCACTGATGTGTGCATAAGGGGCTCTTGATCTTAGGTCATCAGTGCGTTTGCACCAATCGTCAGATTATGATTGAAGTTTCGTTTCAAGCCATTTTGATTATACTAATAAATTTATAAAACAATTCAGTAATTATAAATATACCACAGAATAGATAGTACCATATATTTCCTGAGTCGTCACAAGGATAATGATCTATGGCAGTTACAACATAATAGAACAGACACTCAATCAGCTTTCGATTTGTGTATATTTTTCTAGAGGCTCGACATGATTTATCCATATCAAGCAACGTTCCGGCGTCAGAGATATATGGATAATAAAATTAATTACCTGTAAACCTTGTCGGCACTCTGCGGCAGAGTCTCTGCCGATCACGAACTAAAATATCTTGTCCATGCCGCTGATTATCAATGAAAAAAATGATAACAGAGGATTTCAAGGTGAACGAAATTATTTTTCGGTGAACAAAGGAATTCGAATAACGCTTCTATTATATTCTACGATGGTAATTATATAGTTAGTTATAAATGGTAAACGTTTAAATAGTGTATCTTCACTGGTTCCTTTCATATCATATGTTTGACGTTTGATTCGTCTGTAAACGGTTATGATTTTTGGCGGTATTATCCCACGTGCATTTATTTTATATTTTAGTATTATAGGCAGCTTCAAAATGGAGAGGTGTACAGCATACTATGTAATGAAAATATTTGAGGAGTCAATTTTTTTTACAAAAAACAATTTAAGTAAGCCTAACATCACATCTGAAAATAATAATAATAATAATAATACATTTTATTTATAGCTTATGTGTGTTTACTATTTTCAAACCAATATTCCTAACCTCACATTACCAAAAATTATGATAAAGATAAATGTGTATGTATCGTCTGCTCTTGCACTGTGTTGCACCAGTAATATTATCAGTTTTAAGTTAATACGTCCATATTATGTAAATGTTTGTACTCAACTCTTACTTTATTTTTATTCCGTTATTACAAATTTTGAACACGTGACGTTTGTATTGACCGGAGTAACCTGTTTTATTTACAAGTAATATCCTAATGTTTGTTATTTGATAAAAATTAATAGCTACATTTCGCGCACCGTGCCAATGCCGTATAAAGTACATCACCTACTTTTAATTGCCAGTTGGTATTCGTATTATAATTTATTAGGTTTTTTTTAGACTCTTTTTCTTTATGTGTATAATGTAGATCTGGATAAAATGTAATTTACATAATTGAAAGAGTATATGATTTATTTTACATTAAAATCAATGTAGGAGTTTTTCATTACTTACAATTTGAATTCCGTCCGTCAGACGATGATGAAGGTTCATTAATTGACAATTTCGGTACATGAAAAAAACTAGTATTCAAAATACTTATGATTGGTCTTATTTTTTCTACAATGTAATTCAAATAGTATAAAAATATTAAAATCTGTTGAAAATGTATTATTATTAAAAAAATGTGGATGTTTATTTAATTACTATACTAAACAAAATTGTACACACAATTGAACTGAAATATTTAATTTTATTTATGTTTTTCAAGTGGATATTTTATCCTGTATTCAGTGTATGTTTATAAATCTTCCCAAGATTATGCTAAAAGTGTTAATCTTTGTCGATTGAAAAGCTATTTTGTTTTAATTAAATATCTTTAATCGGAATTAAATCCTCCATATTGGTCTATATATTGTGTTCAAATTTTGACTTAGTACTTAAGGTTTTATCACATATATAATAGTCATAAAGTATTCGATATTAAATGTAATCGTATGATTTTTATAAATATTTTAACTCATTGCTATATTTTAGATTATGTATTTGACAAAAAGGTATTTTAATTCATTTAAAATTATTTTTCAGGTAGTTACTAGTTTTTCATCAAAATATATTACAATGTCATCTCAAACATCTAAATCTGATTCTTCCAAACAAGAAACAGTTGATTTAGGAATTTATTATTTGGACTTAGTAGAATGTCCATTGAATACCGATCATAAGCTCCGACGCCATAGATTGCCGTACCATCTGTTAAAATGCAGAAAGAATTATCCAGATAAAATACAATGTCCTTACGGTCACTATTTTTATGTAAATAAGCATGAAATGGCAAGTCATTTGCAAACATGTCCAAACAAACCAAGGGTTGCTCAAGCCGAAGAAATGCAACCACATATGATAGAAGCTCAACATGCCAGAAATAAAAATATTATCAGAAATTATGATGTGGATAACTATAAAATTGATGAGCCCTATTGGGATTAAATATAATTTTTATATTAAATCTAAACTTCTTTTTATTTTGTCAATGACTAAAAAAAAAAAATAAACAATCAAAGCAGTTGCTTAACTTTTTTATGAACAAAATTACACTATTCCAATAGATCAAAATGTTTTTATTCAAACTTAGTTCTATAATATAGAATGTCTGTATCAAAGAATATATTCCATGTTGAATAAAAAATAAGAATTTAACTATAACTATACATATTGTTTTTATTTAGCATATTGTACATAAATTTATATATAGATTTAATAAATAATACATTTATGATGATCTAATTCAGTGATTCCTAAACTGTGCCCTAGGGGCACCACGACCATTTTCTAAGGGCACTGCGGTCTACGTACGGTTCATAACAAATAGTTTAAAATGTATAAAATTGTTTTTCTTTTTATAAAAACTTAATAGCAAATTATGTAATATTTTCTATTGTATATTCGGATATTCTAATTTTAACCTTATAATAATTTTAATCATAATAACAATAATTTTTATTTATTTATTTTTTAAGTTTAAAAATGCATTAATTTATAATTAAGTTAAATTTTAATAAAATTGGTTATCAATAGGTTTTTTTTTTTGTTCTATAATGTAATTCACAGCAGGGCACTGTGGGTAAATTTGGTCCAAGAAAAGGCACCGCTGAAAAAAAGTCTGGGAACCGCTGATCTAATTAATTGATACTATTCAGAACCATTTCTTATATGGTAACAACAGGATAACTCTAATTTTTAATACCGGTGCAACATTAGTCAAAATTATTTGTTATAATTTTTTACTTTATTTTTTAGACTGTGTGAACATGGAATATATAAATGAAGTTATAAAACTCAAATAATTTTTAATTGAAAATGTTATATCGATAGTTAATTCATCTTAAGGGGATCTTTAACAAATTTACCAAAGTTTTTCTTAATAATTGCAAAAAACTGGCGTAGTTATTAATGTACAGTAAAATTGGCAAACCAGTTTTCGATAAAATCTTTTTTTTTTTTATTTTCATCATAACACAAAAAAAACAATAATCGTAGGTATACAATTTTCACAAAGTACTTATATCATTATTTACAATAGATGACAATTTGCAAAAGATTATTTTGAGCTATTTTTTACTTTTTTTTGAAAATATCGATAAATTATTTTAATAAATATGTCCTTCAAATATGAAACAAATTTTTTCATACATATCTATTACTAATTAAAAAATTGAACTTAGTAAAAAAAAATAGTCAAAATTCTTAAAAATATCAATTTTTAAAATTGGATAATGATTTTTCATAACATTTTCTTCATAGTAAAAAAAAGAAAAAAATTCTGGAAAAGTTTCATAAACCTAATAAATTTAATTTTGATGAAATCAGATACTTCAATGAATTTCAGTTTAACATATTATTAGTTTTTTAGTTAAAGATATTTCATTGTTTCAAAACATTTTAATGAAGTATGTCATCTTTATAGGCATTTGAAATTTTTGATATTCCAAAAATTTTGTCACAAACATTAAATGTTCAACCTAATTATTTATAAAATTGGTTTTACTACATAAACCATCTTCAGAAGTATAAACTAATTTAACCGGTTTCTTTCATTCAGCATTACCATTTAAAGAGTATTGATTTCAAATTCAAAAGACCATGACAGCAATGCCACTTAATCATTCCAGTATCTCTTCAATTGTAAAGTCTCATAAATTTTAAATTTAAATTTATTTGAACCTGGTTGAATTAAGGTAGAAACTATAATGCACAACAAAAAGTTATGGCTGTATAAAAGTTATAACTCTGATAGGATGGAATTAGATTATTCTTAAAATATAGCCAATAGTCTATGAGATGTTGAGTTAAAAAATAACACAAAATAAAGAGTGACATGTAATACCAAAAATTATAAATAATATGCAGTAATTAAAAAACATGGTTCAGTCTATTGTTTAATGACAATACTAATTCAAACAAACCATTTTGTAGGTCACAGGATGTTTAACAATACAAAATAATTGTTTTTAAATTATATAATTAAACCTTGAAATTATATGATAAATGTACTACTAAACTTATAAATATTTGTACATTTGAAAAATAAAACTATTATTCACTTAATTATCAGAAATCTTAAAACAATTTTTTTTTTTTAGTAAATAGTTTGTTAATTTTGTACATTTTTTAAGAATATTACATATTATTACATTAAAATATAAGAAATGCATATGTATTAATTAAATATACTTATGTTATATTATATATAAAAGTAATAGTGATAAATATTCGGGATACCCATAATTATAATTACTTTATTACAAAAATTACAATTTTTTGTGAATTGACATTTCTTTTCATTTTAAAAGTCTTCATCATCATTAAGATCATCAAAATCTGAAAAACATGTTAACAGTTTATCATATATTATGACTTAAAATTACAATAACAATAATTTTTTCAAGATTAATAAATGAAATTGAAACTGATGAATAAGGGTTTGGATTAGATTTTTAAATATTAATATATATACTAAAAACTAAAAATAATTTCTATATTTATTGAATTTATGACTTGAATATTTATATTAAAATATAGTACATTATAGTATCTTAAAAATTAAAAATGTATATAATTTTATAAATAATTTTTTTACTAATTAAATTATCCAGATTGCAATTGATGACAATAGGCATTTTTAAATAAATTATGGTCAATGCAGTTTAAAATCAATTTGTCTCTATAGAACAATAATTTAACAAGTATATACAATTACAATAGGTAATATTAAACAACAGAAATATAGCAGCATAAAAAAATAGCTGATCCTTATTTAACAGTGTCGGCAATATATACTTAATATAGAATGATATCAAATCATAAAAATTGATCATTGAATAAGTCGCTTAATAGTTGTCATTCCATATGAAATAAAATAATTTTAATTTTATTTATTTAAAATTATCATACATTTATACTCAATGAACAGGATATCTGAAGAATAGAAAATATAAATTAAATTACCAATTGTATTGAAAAACAAAAATTAAATAAAATAGTAGTTTATGTAAAAGGTGAATGGACCAATGATGCCCTGTGGTCAGAAGCATACACAGACCTATTTTTCAGGGGGTTCCTACAGTACTTTTGTGCCTTATGTTAATAAATTATAACAAAACCTATAGGTATATTTAATAAATTATAACAAATATAATTAAATAAACATAACTTTAATTTTTTATTTAATATTATGATATATTAGTTCCAATGAATTTATTCTTCAATCCTATATTATTTTTCAGATAACTTCAATTATATATGATTTGTACTTTTGTAGTCAATTGTAGCTGTTACATTATCATAGGAAGTTTTTGCACGAATATTTAGTTTTATTTTTTCTATTACGAAACATAATTTATTTTATGTCAGCAATTTTAGAATAAATTTCATTCAATTTGAGCAACATCAATTAAAATATAGGTTCCTTACTCTTACACATACTTTGTAAGGCCCCATTTTAAACATTTCAGAGGGGTACCGAGGCATACCCAACACTCTATGTGCACACACCTATGACAGTGTTGTATAGAAGAAAAAATAATTAAATTCCATTAACGATAGCACTTGTACATAATAAAAACTTCATAAAACTACAAAATTAATTCACTGTAGGATCCATAAACAAGTCATACTAACATTTTCAAACATATCAACATTGTTCAGGAATATTTTTGTTTCTCAAAATGCTTACCATTATAAAAATCGGCCTGAAGATTTTTTTCATTCATTTCAAATACAACATTTCCTCCACTCTAAAAACAATAAATCTAATTATTTAATAATGAAACAAAACATTAAGAATTTTTTATTTATTTATTACTTCATCATCCATGTCCATTATAGCACTAGTTCCTTCGGGAAACATTTCATCGGCAACTATTCCAGGCTTCATGGTTGGCTTGATGATATTGCTCACAATGAATCTGTAAGCTTAACGTTATTATTATAAGTTAATTAGTCAATGCATAAACAATGCGGTTATTAGAGTATTTAAGAAACAATTACATTGATATTTATAACGGTGTTATCTTTGGCTAGACCTTGATGTTATCACCGAAATGTTATCTATTCCCATAGATAATAATACAGACCTATTAAGTACTTGGTTAATAGGTCTATGTAATAAAATAATGGATAGGCCCCGATTTTATTGGTATAACAAGGGGTCGTTAGCCGGAATCGGAGAGAGACTGATTTCGTTCATTACCTATGTCTATTCTATAGATAAAATAATCTATTCCTTGGTTATATACATATATATATATAATGATCTATTTCGTTAATAATGATTAATAATGACATATAAAAAAATATGTTGGAATATCAAAGACATAATATATTTATTTTGATATGTCTATTAATAAAAGTTTTTTATTAAATCAAATGTAGTAGTAATATTAATGTAGTATATGTTTGATTTTATTAATATTTCTATCGATACGTCATAAGAATAGCGAGAATAGACATTAATTTGAAAGTTTCATTGTTGAAAACTGATACCAAAAGTTACATTTCAATTATTTGATGTTTCAATAGTACTCATCACTATGCACTTATATATTGATCTACATTTTTGGTGTCTGCAAATCGTAGAATTATGATGATATAAGTTAAAATATAAATAAATACATAAATATGTTACTATTATGTCTTTGCAGCAAACCATAAACTGTATTATATTTAATTATGCAATATATATCACTTAAAAACAAGTTATATGTATCAAAAAGTCGATGAAAAAAAAAGAAAACTTGGTATAAACATTTTCAAAGTTTATTATAACAGTAATATCAATTTTTATAATTTATATATTATACAAAATAAAATACAATACATTTGGCATTCAACTTTTTTTGGGTTTATGCTCAAGCCATGCATTGATTTGTTTCATTCTTGCCACCCACCAATCCTTTTGCTCCTTACATATATCACTATATTCATCTACACTAATAAAAAATAAATAAAATAAATATCAAGGTAAATAAATTTATAATTTTAATTTCAAAAAACATGTAATTATAATTAATAATAAAAAAGTACAAATAATACAGTTAAATTTTAAGTGTATCCTGGTGAACATACGTTTCTATAAATGTATCAATGTCAGTAGCTAACAATTTCCATGTTTTGTTTTCATCTAGAATAGCTACAGAGGTTAGAGCATCTTTAACTTCTTCTGGAGGTGAATTAAACATTTTCCCAATATTTTTTCGATTGACAATTTGTTCTGAATCCAACATATGAATCTAAATAAATTTAAGCAGTAAATGATGAGTTTTAATAATGAAAGAAAACTTTCACATAAACTAAAAAAAAAAAAAGAAAAAAAAGACTATAGATATTTTATTATAAATTAAAACACAGCAATTTAAACTGAATGCACTCGGGGGTTTAATAATCAATAAACATTTTGTAATATTTTGTGGTCAATATATATAGTCAATTATCATATTTTTAGTATGATATATACATTTTACTTTATTGAATTTTTTTAAACTGTTCATATATACATATCATGTGTATCAAATATTTTTGTTAAACATTTGATGTACAAGGCAACTTTAATTGATTTTTATATTAATACTTTATAAATAAAAAAAAACCTAATAAAACACTAAGACATTTTGTTTGTATAAAAATGGAAAAACATACATGTTATTTTAAGGCAAATAGTTATTTTTTTTAAGTTAACAATATATTTCTAGATCTATTTCAATATTCTTTTTGACAAATAAGTTAATAGTCATAACCAAGACTTATAACTTGTAGCATTTACATATTTTTTTTTGAGAGGTCCTAAAAATACCTATGTGAGCTATAAATTAGTTTCCGATAACTAACAAGTTAAGTTCGAAATTTTACGTTGCATATTTTTGTATATTTCAAAGTATAAAAGCTATTTTGCTGACTTATTTTTACATATTTAAAAATTTGTTTGCTATTTTGCTAGTTTAAGTCTTTTTCAGTTCCATAGCATAAAAAACATTTTTTCTTAATAATTATAAGTAATTATAATAGTATTAATTGTTTATGTTTATAATTAATTGTTCTTCTTTTGGTTTAAATTATATTTTTATTTGTATCATATAGCGACAATCGGTATTTTAACAATAAGAATTTGACATTAATTTTTTACATAATACATATATCTTTTTTCGTATATTTTTGTATTTTTAAAGCATATTTAAGCACTTATGTAAATATTTTTATGAGCATATTATAGGGCTTATAACTACCATTTTTAAAGCTATAAATTATGAGGCCTGGTTATAACTTATGTTTATTATTTTTTTTTTAATCACAAATATACACAATAATAGAGTAAATGCAGAATAAAATAATTGTCTAGTTTCATTCAGATTAATTAAAACATCTTATGCCTCATTTTATTTTTCGTCAAAGATATAGATTAGGGAATTTATTAAAAAAAAAAAATATATACATATATATGATGGCATATTCATTTTTTTCTTTAATGAACACAAACATTTTTTGAATATTATATTTTCCATTTATTATCTATTCAATATACATTGCATTATTCTATATATTTTTAATAAGAAACTATTATTAAGAAAATATAAGTAAAAATCAATCAAAATAATTAAAATTAAAGTAATATCTTACGATATAATCTCTAAGAAAACGCATGACTTCAAAACTCAAGCCAAAATGAGATGATATGGTATTTTCTGGGTAAAGTTCCTCACTCTTAATAGTCCAATGTCCACGAATCAAAAGAGCAATTTTTCTCAAATTGGTCAAAATTGTAGTAATACTTTCATTAGGTGGAACACCACATTTCTGTAGGAGATCTATTAATACTTTTGTAGATACCATTTTTGCTAAAAAACATAATTATTTTCAATTAAACATACTAGAATACATTATTTAATACATTTAATCAATAATTTAGATTTTATTTAAACACTTTTATAGATGTAATTTCATAACTTCAGTAAACTAAATTTACTCTCAACAAAATAAAGTATAATTCTTTGCATATAGCATATAGGATACACTATTTCAGAATAGGTGCAATTTTCAAGTCTATTAAATGTTTATTTCAGTATTAAGAAATTTTTTCAAGTATATATGTAATGAGCAGTGTTGTGCAGTTATCACACCTACTGAAAAATTGATTTTGTAGCCTTTTTCTCCTGTCATTGTTCTAGTTGCTCTACAGGGCTCTACACCAGACCAACTCTACTGGAAGTGAAGTTCATACATGTGATAATTCTCTACTTAGAGAAGGGGATACAACTGATATTCCACTTTAGCCTTCCTAGTAAAAAATATATCAACAAAAAGATTTCTGACAGTCATTTCAACAGGAAATTTGAATTTTTTTTATGTATATAATCTTTTAAAACTATAAAAAAAATATTTTTAACGAACAGATACATAATTAATTTTTATAGTATATACAGAATAAATGTTGAAATAATATGTTTTTGAATTATCAAAAAATGGTAAAACTAAAATACACTACAAATTTACTATGTGGAAGAACTAAACATAATAAATTATTATTAAAAGCCAATAGCTATATAAATATAATTAAGAAAAACTTACTATTAAATAAAAGTATTTTTATCTTATTTTCTAAGGAATAAGATTTTATTTTATTATAAGATAACTGGCGTGCTCTAATAGGATTGATGTTTTCAATATCATTTACTTTTTCGTTTAAAGTGATTTCTTGAACAATATCATTTTTATGTGAACTTCTTAATTTTGGTAACTTAAACTTATCCAATTCTAACTGAAAAAAAAAATACATAAAACTGACTAATTAATTTTTATTTTATTTTAAAACCTTATAACCAAGAGAGAAATGTAAGAAAAAGAATTAAATATAACAGTCAAAACTTTTTAGACATAAATAAATTACTGTGAATCAGAAATATAATAAATTGCAGGCAATGTCAAAAATATACTTAATATATTACAGAAGAACATTCTACATTAATTCATTATTTTAACTTAAGGTATAATAAATGTATATATAAATTTCTTTAATATAAATATACAAATAGTATAGTAGAATACTTTTTGTATATTTGGAAATACAATATATATATATATATATATATAAACATCAATGTAATTACTCTGGAGAAGTATTGACCATTTGGCACAAAATTCAAATTTATCCAAGGTTCCATTGCTCTCTGTTTAACCATCTCTTGCATTTTTTTCTTTTCACTTTTTTTCCCAGGTCTATCTTTGAATTTTGCCATTATTTGTTCACTTTCTTCTTCCTCTTCCTCAGACACATCTTAAATATTAATGATTCAAGATTAATTAAGTTTATTTCAATACTTTGAAATCATGATTTTTACCATTTGGGTTTTGGGAATTATTTTTATTATCATTTTTTGGATCTATTTTATCAATGTGATTCAATTTAGGTAACATATTTAATGTGTTCTTAAGTGGACACAAATGAATACTTTCACCAGAAGTATACATAATCATATCCGTAGTATTTGATGATATCTTGTGAGATTCAAAACTTAATTGATCAACCATACCACTGAATAAATAATAACTATTATAAATATTATCATACAAAATTGGACTTAATCAACTTCTTTCTAAAATACTGGAACCTAGAGACCAGAGCTTTACTGGATAATCAAAAAGATGGTTAAATGAAAAATAAACTTTTTTAAACATGCATACACATTATTTATTATATTTTCAATAATTATAACATGCATTATTTTTTTTTTTTATAATTTACTATATATTTATTTAATACCCCTACATTCAAATATTTAACAATTATTTATTACATATTTATTTATAATTATAAGATTAAAAAGTTGGTTAATTTTTTTTGTTTAACCACATCTCATGCTTTTTTGGCTGTCATATATCTTATACTTCTCTCACGAGTAATGGTGGTTAATCTAGAAAAACGGTTTATGGGGAGACAGATAATCATGGTTCTACTGTACTATATAGATATCATTGATAATGAATATATAATAATTGGCAATTATTGTTTGACATTAGTAGAATAAATTGTTAGTTCATTCAAGTAAGATTTCTAATTCTCATATTATAATTGACCTAAAATTATATTTGACAGATAATCTTTTATTAATTCACTCACCTTGGAATTTAAATGTTATTAAATTATATGTTGTATAACTTAGACATTCAACCAATTAAAGATAAATACTAATAAATATTCATGAATATGATATTTATATTTTAATGTTATCATGATTTATCTTGAATTTAAGTACATATAGTTATTATTTTTAAATTTAAATATTAGCATAACTACTTATTTCTACAGTTAAATAATAATTTAAGTGTTTATGGTATAGATATCAGTTAGATTGATGTTAAAATGTCCTAGTACTAATAAGAAGGAAAGGCAGAAATGTATATAATTTATGTTGAGCACTGAAAGGTTGTTCCAAAAAGTGTTTAGAGAATCACAAATCAGTTTTTGAATGTTGAATGAATACAGAAAAGAAGAAGTTAAGACAAAATTTGTAGGCTTAGAAGGGAAGGATAGTGATCAAACCTAAGGTGGAAAAAATAACCTTATATTTTTGGAAGATCCAGTTGTGAAATCAGAAATTAGTTGGTGGCATGAACTTAAATTAAAGAAGAATGCTCAGTAAAGTCTTGATTTCCCTAGATTATATTAAGCCCTTTTTAAGATATATTATAATAAAATAATTTTATTTGTGATTGTTTTGAATAGTGTGATAAAGTTGAATGTATGTAGGGGGAAAAAAAGTGTTCTACTCTTAAGTTCTTTCAACATTTTGAGCTCAAGCTTTATGCACTCGAAGACCCTATTTTCATCCATAGATAATGTAAGATGGATGATAAGTGTACTATGTATATATTTGTTATATAGTGATAAATGTATCGGTATAGAAAGTTTTGCTAGTGGGAAGTCTAATACACATCTAGTTATTTTTTTTTTCTATAATTATATATATGTATATAACATTATTATAACATTTAGAGTTATAAATTTAAAATTATTTATCTATAAAATACTAGAAGTTTGTTGTTGTATAAATATATAGTAACCTGGGGTAGACGCTTTTATCTTTAGTAGTTTTATCGGTTTCCGCAACCAATTCTTGCCCATGTCCTTTATCATAATTTATATCAGTATTAAGGGCATAAGATACTTCCAATTCTTCACATTCTGTCTTATATCTACACTGTAAAAATAATATAAGAAACATATATAACAAATATAAAATAATAGAACTAGCTAATGTAAAATTATGACAAAAACATTAGAAAGACTTACTTGGGTGACATTTGATGTCAGCAACTGATCGTTTTTCAACAATCTTGTAGGATAGTGTAACAACAATAAATGTCGTAAATCATCACTCAAAAAAACCGGTATCTGAAAACAATTTAATTAATATAATGAACACATTATGTGTAAAGAGAGGTTAAATGTCACTTCTTTAATAAGTTTATCATTCTCCGTTTCAGCATCCATTGCAGAAAATGCAATCAATATTAAAAAAGATGTAAAGTACTTCGTTTGAAAGGCAACGGAATTGCAAGTAATAAACGCAATATCATAACGTTCACCGCACATCACCGCATGTTCATGATAACGCTTATCATTTTTCAACATATATGTGTGTAGAAACAATGGATTTAAATTTAGTAAAAAATTTAAAATAAGATATAATTCACTATAATTTATAAATAATACAAATACAAAAATTAAAATACTTATTCTTAATCTTATTTGGGTTTGGTTTTAATTGGTTATTGTCATAGTAGTTGGTCATCACTTTAAGCGCGTTTGTTAATTTCTTTTCTACATCATCGAAGGTTGTATCTTGAGCTGTGATTGCTAGATCGTCTGCATATAAAAAGTGTTTCGTGTCTCTCGGGGTTGGCTGGTCGTTTGTGTATAGGTTAAAAAGCATTGATGCTAGCACACTGCCTTGTGGTAAACCGTTTTTTTGGATTCTCCATCTACTCCACTTATCGTTCAGTTTTACCGTAAATCGACGGTTTTGTAGTAGTGAAGCAACTATTTGAACGAATTGCCAGTCCCTGGTATAGTGATACACTTTTTGTAGCAATTTATTATGGTTAACCGTATCGTACGCTGCTGTTAGGTCAACGAAAACCATCCCCGTTATCTTTTTGATTTCGAAACCGTCCTCTATGTGTTGACATATGTTGAGTACTTGACCTGTACAGGCCTTGCCTGGTCTAAAGCCAGCTTTTTCCGGTATCAGCATTTTGTCTAATTGGGTTTTAATGCGGTTCATGACCATTCTCTCATATAATTTATAGTTGTGGCATAACAGTGATATTGGTCGGTAACTTTTTGGATCACTTAGATCTTTTCCTGGTTTGGGAAGGGCTATTACTTTAGACTTTCTCCAGCTTTGGGGTATATGTTTTCTATGAAGACATGTGTTTAGTAGTTGGAGTAGCCATCGACTCGCTACTAGCCCGAAGTGTATAATTTGTTCTATTGTAATTTCGTCGTACCCAGCCGCTTTCCCATTCTTCATTTCTTTCAAGCTAGTGATGAATTCATTTATTTGGAAATCGTGGTTGAAGATGTGGGATTCGTTGTTTTTGTCTCTTATGATTTTATCCCTCTTGATTTTCCTTCTGGGTTTACCATTCTTAAGTAATTCTGAGGCAACCTGATTGGCAGTGACATTTATACAGGTTCTGTGGAAAGTTGGGTCTCCACTGAACTTTTTTATTAGGCGCCAGGCTTTCTTGCTATTTTTGGTCATGTCAGTGTTTTCAATGAGATCGTGCCACTTTCTGTTTTTGTCTTCGCCAAGTTGTATAGTAAGGTTTTCTCCTGCCGTAATAGTTTCATCGCTAAATGGGTCGTTTTTAAACAGATTTTGGTATATTTCTATCAGTTTTTCAGTTTCCTTACTTAGACCTGGTATGTAATTTTCTCTGCAGCCGCGTAATATGTGTTATTTAGATATTTTCCTTACTTTATTCGCAAATAGTTCGTAGTTTTCTGGTGTTGGTTCTAGGTTCTGAATTTCTTTATCGATAGCCTCCCTGTATTTTTCCCAGTTAGCTTTTTTGTAATTAAATCTCCTCTTGAATGGAATTGATTCAGATCTAATTGCTTCGGTTATTTGTAGTTTTAATGCTCTGTGTTGTGTTTTTGGTATGGGAGTACATACATCCTTGAGACAATGCTGGCTTATGTTACTACTTACGAAGATTAGGTCCGGGTTGTATCCTCTTTTCCAACGCCCACTATTAAATGAATAAGGAAGCTTTGGATCGTGAATTAGGTCAAGTAGTTCATTTTCAGCCCATTCTTGCACCATTTCACCGTTTTGATCAGTTTCTGAGTACCCCCAGGTGGGGCTGTGGCTATTGAAATCTCCGGCTACTATTTTTGTGGAACTATTTTCAAAATTTGATGGTTTTTCAAAGGTGAAGTCAGCGTTCGGTGGCTTGTATATCGATGTGATTGTACATTTTTTAGTTTCGATGGTTAGAATTTCAATGTTATTTGTGTGGTTGAATGCAGCGCTGTCAATGACTAGGCCCGGCCTAACGTAGACGTGGTCTAACTTCCGTAGAGTGCGTTAGGTATTTCGATTATTAGGTTCATTCCCGGGATTCTTGGACGGATACTAGTTTCGTCACGGTGCGTCTCTTGTAAACACAAAACATCACATTGGGTTTCCGTGCATAAGGTAGCAAGTAGTTCGCTTTTACACGCTGAGAAACCCTCGATATTTTGTGTTAGCACTGTAAATGCCGAGGCATTAACAGAGGTTGGTCCTGAAAAGGACCGTTTCGAGGAGCTATATGGCATTTTTAGCACCGGTGTTGGCAGAATTAGTTAGCTGTGAGGATACAGCATTAACAGGGGCACCACGTGAAGGTTTCTGCCAAGCCCCCGTAAAGCATAGTAACCGCACACGAAACAGATTGTGTACAGTGGTTATTACAAGTCATTTGTTTTTTTTTTTTATTTTATGTGATAATGTATGCGTTTAATAAAACGAAAGTGAAAGATAAAAAAGTTCGCCAATAGGTATTTAATTTACTTATTTTCGTTTGCCTCACGGCCGTCGATAACATTTTCCGGTCGATTTACATTGACTGCAGTTCGCAGAGGAACGAAAGAGATTTTGAAAAAAAAAAGAAATCAGAACCGCACCGATTGCAGACTTATGCTCGTGTGCATAGTCCTGTTGTTATGTGTCACATATAATTGCTTAAGTGACCATTATATAAGTGATCCATAATATTTATATGTAACCCGTAACTATTTTTATGTACCACATAAGTTGGTTTTGCATAAACGATATTTATGTATTCAATAGTTATGTAAAGTGTATGTGATAATAACCATTGTTATCAGTGTAACTATGTTCATATTACCGAAAATGCATAGGATAACGAATAATATTAATATTTTTAAATTTGTATATTTAATTTTGATTTCTAATTTAATAAAAATATTTTATATAATGACAAGAAATTCAGAAAAATAAACGCGTCCGTGCTCCTAATATTTTTGAAGAGGAAAAATGTTAACAATAGTTTTTACAAATTAAAATTAGATAGGTTAAAAGTTTGCTATTGTATAAAATCGTAATGTTATCAATAACTTAAATGGGAGTTATAGGCAATCCTCGATGATTGACTTGAATACCTAATAAATCTACTAACTGATCCATGACAATCAGTTTTGGAAAACGATAACGTTTCAAAAATGTATAGTCATTGTATTTTTCAAACGGGTCTTATATACGAATATACTTTCTTGGCATTTGTTCAACACCAAATTCATCGAAATATTCATCAACCATTTCTACATAATTAACAAAGTTATAAAAATCATCCATACTACTATATTTTAGTAATACAATTCTTTAAAATTTATAATTTGAACACGAAAAAAATATTAATATTAATATAAAAGTATAAAAAATATTGATTAAAATATAATGTAACACAATATATTAAAACTATTTAATATATTATATTATTAATCAAGAATCGAGTTATTTCTTGTTTTATTCTAATTACAATTAATTTATTATTCAAGTATTTTTTATTTATTTGAAATTTAGGTTGCTTTGAACTCAAATTAATGTCATCCAAATCATCAGACTGTATATTAAAATTTAAAACATCCTTATTCAGTTAAATTTTTTTCATCATGGTCGTTATGTTCATATCGTTCATGGATAGATATTTTATTTGCTTTTGAATCATCAAATGATGCTTGACAGACATGTCAAAATTATTTATTCGCGTTTATGTTCTCTGTTTCATTTTGTTTTTAATATTCAAAATTGAAGGACATATTTAAAATTAGTCTAACTACTTGTCATGCTTTTGTTGATTTAAGTAATTTCACAAAAAGGTACTGTATCACTACAGGTAGGTAAGTATAAGTACTGAAAATACTGTACATAATATGTATTCATGTTATAAAATATAATAAAACAAATGAAAGAAAGTATTTAGATGATGAAATTTATCCTTTATTATTAAAGTACTTGATTGATAATTGATTAATAATAAAACCATGAATATTAGATATTTATCTATATATATACCTAGTCTTCATGATTAAAACAATAAAACAATGAGCTTATTGATAATAAATTATATCCATATTAGAAATACGTCAAAAATTTGAATTGGACCGATAAGGACACGACATTAAAAAGAGGCGCAGTGGCGTTCTGGGTAACTTAATACACAGCAGGGTCGAGGAAAGAATAAAAAAAAGAAAAGAAAACCTCTTCAAATGAAGACATTGGCAACACAAAGCCTAACAACTTGCTTGGATATATTAACGTGAAGCATCAGAATTTTCAAAAAAATTTGAATGAGAAATATTTCATCCATGTTATGAATAACAAATAAATCGCTATATTTATCCTTCTATTCTCGCACACACTAAAGAAAAATAGTTAGAAATATTTAAAAATAAATAAATCGAAACGATATTCAAGTAAGGGTAAATAGAAACTATTAAACTTACAACAGACCTTAGTAGTAAGTTGGTTAATGTATTTTTATAATTAAAATAAATTGTTGTACCTAAATAAAAACTTCTATATTTAAATAATATTCCGCGGCACACGGATTAACAAACCGTAATGGAAACAATGATGAGACAGCTAATCTATGTACAATGTTATTTGTCATATTCTATTTCGGTTTGTTAAATCATTACATTCGTACCAATTACATTTTTTATGATTACTGCCAAGAGTATATGAGTATATTAATATTAATAACAAATAAATTAAAAAACTAAGCCTTTTTAAACGTTTTTAAACGTACTTCTTTTATGGCGATTGACAAGTATTTATAAATATTATTTATTGTTATAAGACACAATTTTTAATATTTAATTCATATTTCAAATAACAATACATAGTTATACCCTAATATGAGCTATAGCCTAATAGTTTTAGGAAAAATCGTTTTAAACTTAAATGAGAGGGTAAATAAACTATTACAACCTAATAGATCATAGTATTCCATCGGTTAATGTGTTAAAATAAATGTTTGTAAATAAAAAACATTTAAATTTAAATAATATTTTTTGGCGCCCTACTGTGAT